AAAAAAAAAAAAAAAAAAAAAAAGTAACCCACAACCATGTCCAAGTAGCCGAAGACTATATGCTATACTATAACACAAGATGCCACATTAGAAACCCTAGCTAGGTTATAAAAATGAGAAAGGAAAGTAGTAGGAGTAAATTTGAAACACGTAGTTCCTTAAAAATATGCACCATTTGCTGTCTGCAGATCCGACCATGTGGAAATGCTAGGGTTGCAGAAACCCAATTCTCCTCCAGCCACCGGAGCCGACTCCAAAATCATTGACGAGGATGATGCAGTATTTCCCAAAAGTGACGGCGCGTGATCAGGATAGCACCGACTCGTTGACGCTTTGAGCCTTTGATATAGCTCTTGGAGTCCTGTACTTTGAACTTCACCAGCTATAAAACCATTTTTCCACATATTACTGCAAAGACCGTTAGAATTTGGAAGCTGATTATATGAATTCACTCCAATTGATTTTCCCTCTTCCTTAACCACAGAATTTGGGAAATGGCAGTTATTAGCATTAAAATTAAGGTTTTGATGATTTCCTCTAAGTAAGGAGATAAGAGGATGATTTTGAGGAGATGAAAAAAGAAAAGGATTCGAAATAGAGATTTCGTTTTCGAGCCCTCCAAGAAAGCTTGGAAGTGAAGCTTTCAACTTTGCAGCAGTTGATTTTGCTGCGGAGGTAGTAGAGATGTTAGTATTCTTGTTTTTTCTGCAGCCACCACCAATAGGAACGTTACGTAACGCACCACCTTTAGTCCAGTAACGGCGACAAGTCTTGCAGAAATGACGAGGCTGAGTTAAGTTGTAGTTGTTATAGTAACAAAACTTAGTGTTTGGGGAATCACAACGTGGACATCTAATATTTTCTGAGTTTGAAGACGAGCTAGCATTTGCAGGTGGAGGAATATTTGTGGTTAAGGTTGAGGAATTAGAAGTAGAAGAAAGAGGAGAGGTGGAAGGAGTATTGGATTGCTTTGAAATATTCTCCCCTCCTCCTCCTCCTATAAGGGTAGTATTTCCTGCGAAAAGCTCTTGAATCATCTTTTTTTTGCTTTTTGTAAATATATTTCACACACTTCGATTACAGTCGGAAAGAACAAAAGGAGAAGAAAGCGAGAGAAAAGCAAATTAGAATGGATTAATTCTTTTACTGATCTTTTCGAAATGGGAAAGCTAGAATATTGTGGTACTGATGTATGTGAACGAGAGATATAGAGAGAGACAGAGAATAAGTATGCTTTTGAGGGTGCGAAAGGATGGAGAGTAGAATGATAGGCGGGCATAATTATATAGAAACTCTATAAAGAGAGGGGGCACTACTTAACTGAAAACAATTTGTGATTTTTTTGTTTTTTTGGAATGTATCTGGTGCTTTTTGAAGTGAAGCAAAAATGGACCTTTCTTAAATGATCGTTGGACAAAAGTTAACAGAAAAATTGGTTATGTTATATGCTGCTTATGCATGCAAAATCTTGTCTACTAATTCGTCGGTATTATCATATGTTCATTCACTAGATATAGTATTTCATTTATTTTCCATGATCGTGTTTGACTATGGTATTTAAGAAAAAACTTTTCAGGCATTAATTAAATAATATTTTTTATGTTTTAATTTATGTGGCAATATTATTATTTGAGGAGTGTACCAGGTTATTTTTTGATCATATTTTTCTTAAATATTTTATAAATATTTAAATTATAAATTATTACTCTCTCCGATTATATTACTTGTCATGTTTCCTTTTACATGACCTTTAAGAAAATATTAAATTTATTTTTGATCTAAATATAATACTACTCTTAATTATACTGCATCAATCTCTCTCTTCATTTATTAGAATAAGGGTAAAGATGGAAAAAAATTAATTCTATCTTGATTTTCTAAACTGACAAGAATTTTGGACCAATTACTTTTAGTAATCAAGACAAATAGAAAAGACCGGAGGGAGTATGACTTTTAATACATTTTATATAATTTTCAAATATGTAAATTTTATTTTTAAAAACCTGAAGAATCTAAATCTAATTTCATGGTTAAAATTAAAAACTTTGATCCACATACTTCGAATCGTACTACATAAAATGGAAAGAAAGGCGTTTATAACATACCAAAAACTCATACTCTATTATCTTATGATAGTATTCAATATATGGAGGACAAGATGAGGGAGACGAGACTTAGATGGTTCGGACATGTGAAGAGTAGAGGCACAGATGCACCGGTGATGATGTGTGAAAGGTTGGTCCTGGAGCGCCTAAGGAGGGGTAAATGCACACCAAAGAAGTATGGGGGAGAGGTGATTAGGCAAGATACGGCCAGAGGCGTTGATAGAGAAGTAGATATGGGTTCGGACAAACCCAATAGCTTTTGTTTAGACCTTATATTTTTATTATAAAATTCATTAAATATGTAAAAAGATATTTGATTACGAACCCAGTAAATAAACGGGCTATGGGTTCGATAACAATTTAAGAACTCATAAACTTCAAATCCTGGCTCCGCCTCTGGATATGACGTTGCTCCAGCTTACTTAGGCAAAACCATGGATAGAAAGATATGGAGGTTAAGAATAAAGATAAAGGGTTAGGTAGGTGAGCGTTGTCTTTATCTGTAACAGTAGCATTAATGCATGACTTAGTATCATTTGTGTATTTTAATATTTCTTGACGTATGTTATTACTTGGTGTTGCTTTAGTTTTGGCTTTCTGATTGCAGTTAGTATTAGTTTTGTATTTTTGCTTCGGTTTTTTGATTGGTATGCTTGTCGTTGCCTTTCTTTTTTCTTTCCTAAGCTGAGAGTCTACCGGAAATGGCATCTCTGCCTTCTTGAAGGAAGAGGTAAAATTTGTATATACACTACGTTCACCAAACTTCACTTATGAAATTACACTGGGTTTATTTTGTTGTTGTTGTGGTGGTGGTATGAAATTGGTAATTTAGGAAGAGCCAAGAATCTAGAATGATGATAGCAATCAAGTTTCTAAAAGAAACCTAATTAAGGGATTTGTGCTTGATATGCAATTATAGAGAAACAATCATCATTACAAGTATAAAGCACTTATTGCCTGGAAATACGTGTAAAGTAGATGCACAGCCCGCCAATACAATTTGCGATGCCCCACGAAACTTTAAGCATTATTTTTCCAATTGCAACCCTAACCAAGCTAATCCTCTGTATAATTTGTAAAAATATCGCGGGCTAGCCAGTTTTCGCACTGATTATTCAAAAATAGTCAGCATTTATAAAATCATTAAAAAATAACCACTATTTTGCTGCAACACGAAAAGTTCCAACATAATATACTGGAGATCGGTGCACATATGTATGAACTTCCAGCATATTATGTTGGACCGGTATATTATACTGGAAGTCCAGTATACTTATGCTGGAACTCCAGTATATTATGCTGGAGTTCTAGTATACTTATGCTGGAACTCCAATATATTATGTTGGAGTATTTTCCGGATTTTGAACAATATTTTCGTTCAAATTTATCTTTACATGAAAAGTGGCTAAATTTCTATTACTTTTAAAATTATGCTATTTTTGAATGACCACTTGTAAATATGGTTATTTTTGAATTTCTCCCATCTAATCTTTCTTCCTCTTATTATGATGTCTTATCCTGTATATATTCTTTGTGTGGAAATAATTAATTAATTGATCTTATATGATTATCGTGCCACACGTTCACACGTGTGACTCGTGGGTGCGCATCATCATGATATCAAATCATATAAAGCATTTACGACCCCAATTCCACAATGTAATCGACGTAAGATCTTTAAAATTACACTCTAGTTAATTAATTTGTTCTTGATTGACCTCCCATTGAAGGGGTGGAACTGGGGTTTTTTTTTTTTTTTTTTTTTTTTTTAACCGTAGTGTTGGGTTAGTTTGTGCATCTGCACTATCTTATTTGATGATAGGTATTATTTTCAGTCACCACATATATCAGTAGATAATTCTGTTTATGAAAATTTGGATAGATGGGAAGATATTAATAAATCACCTATCGATAGATGGAAAAATATCAAATCACCTACCGCTTTTTGTTTCAGGTGAGGTACGACCACACCCTTGATTTACGTGGTAAAAAAAGTTTCGACAAAGATTAGGTTTGCATAGAAGAACGTTAATGTTGGAAAACTAATTTAAAGTTATAGTAGGAAATCTTAATTATTTAGGATTTAGTTTATTTAATTCATGTCTAAATAGGATTTGTAGTCAAAATTAATATAGAAATAGATAGGGGTGTCAATGGATATTTAAAAACCGACTAAACCGACCGAACTGTACCATACCGAACCGATTTTTAGGTTTCTTTTAATAAAAACGTAGGTTTTTATATAAATCTATAACCGTACCGATAATTAGGGTAGGTTTTTTATTTTATAAAAATAAACCGAAAAATACCGAACCGTACCGAATAAATTTATATGTGAAAAATATATTTATATATTAAGTTTAAGAATAATAATGTATTAAAATTTTTCTTAGGCCTTGAAATTGTGAAAACGATTACAAGTAAACAAGTAATTAAACTCAAAATCTTAATTCTCAAACATATAATGCTACTCCTATTGAAACTAAATTATTTCCAACATATTCACTAGCAAGATACAAGCTATTCTAGCGATTAGTAGCAAACTACAATGTATCGAATATATTTCCTTTCATATGATTTAGATTTATTTTTTTGAATATTTAATCTTCTATAGACGTTATTCTTGAGTTCCAACTTGGTTAATATATTTTCACTCGGTTAATATCTTTGTTTAATATTTTTTACGCTGCTTTAAAATAGTTGATGGATATATACTCTGATCATATTTAATATTTTCTTAATTTATCACCCTTTAAAGAGTAAAAATATCTTGAGAATTTGCCAAGTCCTATAAAAGTACGTATGTTATTGCATTTTACTTCTACTAGTGACTTTTACATGACATTTAAAAAAAATACCGAAAATTAATCGAATCGTACCGATACCGAAGAGAAACCGACATGATTGGGACAATTTCGAAAAGTCTAATTTTGATTATGCATAATAGAATAATCGAAAAATTAGTATGGTATAAATTTTAGAAAATAGCCATCTGAACCAAACCATTGACACCCCTAGGAATAGATATTCCTATTTTCTAGTTAAAATATATTTCTTACTATTATAAATAGGGGTATTGATAGCTTATTTTATGTGTGGAGGAAATAATAAATTGCAGAGATCAATCAGAGATTTATAATAAAATATTTTCCTTCAAATATTTATAATAAAATATTTTCCTTCAAATTGGCATCAGAGCTTGTGTGAGATTCTGTCAAAGCATGTGTGAGATCCAACAAAATAATATGGATACTCTATTACCTAATTGTCCCCCTTTTTTGTTTGATGGCAAAAGTAATTTTGAAACTTGGTATCAACAGATGAAGAATTTTTTAAGGCTACTGGATTATGGCCCACCATTAATAAAGGATTTGAGGAGCCTCCAGAAGGCATAACGTTGTCGGGTGATGTAGCTACGAAATTGGAGAACAAAAGGCATTTAGATTATAAGGCACGCTACTATCTCGCCATTAAGATCGAATTGCATTTATCTAAAAAATATTTACATGCAAAGTCATCAAAGGAGGCTTGGACAATCTTGGTGAAGTCATATCAAAAAGCTGCTGACATAAAGAAGAGAAACTGCAAGAGTTTAGAAGTCAATCAGAGATTTATAATAAAATATTATCCTTCAAATTGGTACCAGAGCTTGTGTGAGATTCCGTCAGAGCCTGTGTGAGATCCAACAAAATAATATGGATACTCTATTACCTAATTATCTCATTTTTATGTTTGATGGCAAAAGTAATTTTGAAACTTGGTATCAACAACAAATGAAGAATTTTTTAAGGCTATTGGATTATGGTCGTCCACCATTGATGAAGAATTTGAGGAACCCCCAGAAGGCACAATGTTGACGGATGATGTAGCTACGAAATTGGAGAACAAAATACATTTAGATTTCAAGGCACATTATTATCTCGCCATTAAGG